GGGCGGCACAGGGGGTACTGCTTTTGAGTCGACTCAAAAGCGAACCGTGACTTGCCGGGTTGATCCCTGGGGGGAATAATTATTAGGGGCACAGGAGATGGTGGGAGGGCGGCACAGGGGGTACTGCTTTTGAGTCGACTCAAAAGCGAACCGTGACTTGCCGGGTTGATCCTTGGGGGGAATAATTATTAGGGGCACAGGAGATGGTGGGAGGGCGGCACAGGGGGTACTGCTTTTGAGTCGACTCAAAAGCGAACCGTGACTTGCCGGGTTGATCCCTGGGGGGAATAATTATTAGGGGCACAGGAGATGGTGGGAGGGCGGCACAGGGGGTACTGCTTTTGAGTCGACTCAAAAGCGAACCGTGACTTGCCGGGTTGATCCCTGGGGGGAATAATTATTAGGGGCACAGGAGATGGTGGGAGGGCGGCACAGGGGGTACTGCTTTTGAGTCGACTCAAAAGCGAACCGTGACTTGCCGGGTTGATCCCTTGGGGGAATAATTATTAGGGGCACAGGAGATGGTGGGAGGGCGGCACAGGGGGTACTGCTTTTGAGTCGACTCAAAAGCGAACCGTGACTTGCCGGGTTGATCCCTGGGGGGAATAATTATTAGGGGCACAGGAGATGGTGGGAGGGCGGCACAGGGGGTACTGCTTTTGAGTCGACTCAAAAGCGAACCGTGACTTGCCGGGTTGATCCCTGGGGGGAATAATTATTAGGGGCACAGGAGATGGTGGGAGGGCGGCACAGGGGGTACTGCTTTTGAGTCGACTCAAAAGCGAACCGTGACTTGCCGGGTTGATCCCTGGGGGGAATAATTATTAGGGGCACAGGAGATGGTGGGAGGGCGGCACAGGGGGTACTGCTTTTGAGTCGACTCAAAAGCGAACCGTGACTTGCCGGGTTGATCCCTAGGGGGAATAATTATTAGGGGCACAGGAGATGGTGGGAGGGCGGCACAGGGGGTACTGCTTTTGAGTCGACTCAAAAGCGAACCGTGACTTGCAGGGTTGATCCCTGGGGGAATAATTATTAGGGGCACAGGAGATGGTGGGAGGGCGGCACAGGGGGTACTGCTTTTGAGTCGACTCAAAAGCGAACCGTGACTTGCCGGGTTGATCCCTGGGGGGAATAATTATTGGGGGCACAGGAGATGGTGGGAGGGCGGCACAGGGGGTACTGCTTTTGAGTCGACTCAAAAGCGAACCGTGACTTGCCGGGTTGATCCCTGGGGGGAATAATTATTAGGGGCACAGGAGATGGTGGGAGGGCGGCACAGGGGGTACTGCTTTTGAGTCGACTCAAAAGCGAACCGTGACTTGCCGGGTTGATCCCTGGGGGGAATAATTATTAGGGGCACAGGAGATGGTGGGAGGGCGGCACAGGGGGTACTGCTTTTGAGTCGACTCAAAAGCGAACCGTGACTTGCCGGGTTGATCCCTGGGGGGAATAATTATTAGGGGCACAGGAGATGGTGGGAGGGCGGCACAGGGGGTACTGCTTTTGAGTCGACTCAAAAGCGAACCGTGACTTGCCGGGTTGATCCCTGGGGGGAATAATTATTAGGGGCACAGGAGATGGTGGGAGGGCGGCACAGGGGGTACTGCTTTTGAGTCGACTCAAAAGCGAACCGTGACTTGCCGGGTTGATCCCTGGGGGGAATAATTATTAGGGGCACAGGAGATGGTGGGAGGGCGGCACAGGGGGTACTGCTTTTGAGTCGACTCAAAAGCGAACCGTGACTTGCCGGGTTGATCCCTGGGGGGAATAATTATTAGGGGCACAGGAGATGGTGGGAGGGCGGCACAGGGGGTACTGCTTTTGAGTCGACTCAAAAGCGAACCGTGACTTGCCGGGTTGATCCCTGGGGGGAATAATTATTAGGGGCACAGGAGATGGTGGGAGGGCGGCACAGGGGGTACTGCTTTTGAGTCGACTCAAAAGCGAACCGTGACTTGCCGGGTTGATCCCTGGGGGGAATAATTATTAGGGGCACAGGAGATGGTGGGAGGGCGGCACAGGGGGTACTGCTTTTGAGTCGACTCAAAAGCGAACCGTGACTTGCCGGGTTGATCCCTGGGGGGAATAATTATTAGGGGCACAGGAGATGGTGGGAGGGCGGCACAGGGGGTACTGCTTTTGAGTCGACTCAAAAGCGAACCGTGACTTGCCGGGTTGATCCCTGGGGGGAATAATTATTAGGGGCACAGGAGATGGTGGGAGGGCGGCACAGGGGGTACTGCTTTTGAGTCGACTCAAAAGCGAACCGTGACTTGCCGGGTTGATCCCTGGGGGGAATAATTATTAGGGGCACAGGAGATGGTGGGAGGGCGGCACAGGGGGTACTGCTTTTGAGTCGACTCAAAAGCGAACCGTGACTTGCCGGGTTGATCCCTGGGGGGAATAATTATTAGGGGCACAGGAGATGGTGGGAGGGCGGCACAGGGGGTACTGCTTTTGAGTCGACTCAAAAGCGAACCGTGACTTGCCGGGTTGATCCCTGGGGGGAATAATTATTAGGGGCACAGGAGATGGTGGGAGGGCGGCACAGGGGGTACTGCTTTTGAGTCGACTCAAAAGCGAACCGTGACTTGCCGGGTTGATCCCTGGGGGGAATAATTATTAGGGGCACAGGAGATGGTGGGAGGGCGGCACAGGGGGTACTGCTTTTGAGTCGACTCAAAAGCGAACCGTGACTTGCCGGGTTGATCCCTGGGGGGAATAATTATTAGGGGCACAGGAGATGGTGGGAGGGCGGCACAGGGGGTACTGCTTTTGAGTCGACTCAAAAGCGAACCGTGACTTGCCGGGTTGATCCCTGGGGGGAATAATTATTAGGGGCACAGGAGATGGTGGGAGGGCGGCACAGGGGGTACAGGGGGGGGGGGGTGAGAGCGCGGCAGAGGGGGTGGTGGTGGTTGGGGGGGATGGGGGCGGGGTTGGGTGGGATGGGGATGAGGCACGTGCATGGCCATGTCATAATACAGTCACAGTACACGTGGCACCCACCTGTGGCTGTGCGCTAGGTGGCATTCACTCATCTGTACGTATATGACACGTGGCACCCACCTGTGCATATATGAGAGGTATAGGAGCTCGTCTAGCTTGCTGGCAGGGTTGAACGAATCCTCTTCTGCCACGTGGATATCCTCCCCTCCTCCCACCTCCCCAGCCCGAGCGTCCCTACCTTCCCCCATCCCATAACCTCTCCTGCTTAATTCTTGACTCAATTCACCCACGCTTTTATCTCCTACCACATCTCCTACCACCGCTGCCGCTGCCGTTGCTGCTGCTGCTCCTGCTCCTGCCACTGACTCTCCTGCCCTTCCTGCTACAGACTCTCTTCTTACAGCACTGCTATCCCCCTTATTATCAGCCCCGCTTCTGGCCTCCACATTGTCTCTTCTTTCATCTCTCCTTTCGCCTCTTCGTTCCTCCTCCGCTTCACTTTCCCCCTCCTCCCCCTCCCCCTCCTCCTCCTCATATTCATCATCCCCATATTCCCATTCCCCCTCTTCCCCTTCCCCTTCCTCCCCAGACATAAACCCTGAACCCTCCCCAACAGTCTCCCACAAATCCCCCCCTTCCGCCATCAAAAGCCCTAAACCCTCCTTAATCTCGTCTCCATTCGCCCAGATCCATTCTCGATCCTCCCGCGCTAAGGGCAACGGGGATAGACACGCGCTAAGCAGCGGCCAGCCCGCCGCGTTTCCCGCCGCTAGTTGCGGGCTCTGCAGCAGGCGTGACGTCAGCTCGTCCTGGCTCAGCTGCCGCCCGCCGCGCCGCCCGCGACGGTACAGATTCGTCCGGTGAATGCCGCCCGGGCGCTTCTGCAGCCGGCGCATGTGCGCGGGGGAAACTTTCCGCCGAACCACGCGCGGGGCGGCTTTGCTGCGCCCGGCGGCGGAAATGAGGAGTCGGCGGGGTCGCGGAGCCAGGGGCTCACGGAGGCCGGGGGAGGTATGGCGCTGGGGGAACAGGCCCTTGGCGGAAAGATGCGGGTAAATGGGGGTAAAAAAACGGGAATAGGCGGACGAGAGGGGAGCGGAGGAAGCGCAAGAGGTTCTAAGCGGGTACGGGGCTGGTCGCGATTGTGACAATATCGAGCAGGCTAGGGTCGAGGGAGGGGGTCGTGACTGTATCGAGAGTTGCGACGGTGACAATACTGAAGAATGTGGAAACGCAGGATTGACTGATGTTGGAGCGCGGATGCCGCGCATTGCGGCGCCTGAGGCGGGCGATGCGAAACACGAGGTTACCGCCATTCTTCTCCACCTTATGTTCGCATGAGAGAAGAACGAACGAGATGAGTACTGGGACTACAAGGCCTTACGAAGCATAACTGACCACAGGAATGACTCTGCAGGCTTGGTTTGACACGCAGGAAGGATGGATTCGAACAGCATACTTTCAAATTCATATTACAAACTTTTATTTCTGTACCCGTACAAATTGAAAATGCGGTAACATTCACGCGAAGTGCTCGCAACGCGTTACTTTCGCCACAGACAGTTCGTCGAAAGTTTGACTGCGCGGAAGTTCCGCGTTTTTCTTCTCTCAACGGAGTTCGGGCCTGTTTTGCGGGGCTATTCACGCCACAGGCACATTTCGAGGAAACCTTCCGTTCCATACTTTCCATTCCTTTCCTGTCACAAGCATCCTCCTAAGGAATTAGCCCCTCAAATTGTTGCTAGACCAAGTGCGAGCCGCGTGCCGCGGCGGACCAATACTCACGAGCCACATCAGCACTCATGCGTAGGTCACTAGGAACCTTGTATGCGAACGCGCCGCGAGGCGGCGATAGCAGCAATAGCAGCTTCGTGCGATTGTACATAGACTCGCTCAGCCTGCCGACTCGAGGATTCCTCCTAACGTTCGCGATCCTAGTAACCGCGCTCGTCCTCCTAGTCGCGCGCCGCGACTCCTCGCTGTCCGGCGCCTCCTCCTCTTCCTTCTCCGCCAACCGCGCCGCTGATTCCGGCGGCGACCCCGCGGCGATGGCGGCGCGTCCTGCGGAGGTGGTGGTGGAAGAGAGGGAAACGGTGGTGAATCTCCCGCCGGAAATCACGGAGGAGGAGGGGCGGCAGCGCGTGACGCTGCGGTTTCTGGAAGGTTCCAGGAAGCCGGGGACGGGAGGAGGAGGAGGAGCGGGGGTCGCGGGTGATGGATTCTCGGGAATGACGGTGATGCTGCTGCATGGTCGATCGTTCGAAGCCAAGACATGGAAAGACATCGGTAAGGCCACATGAAATGTGTTGCCTACTCCCTTCCTCCCATAGAAAGAACCCCTCGGGAATGACGGTGGTGCTGCTGCGTGGCCGGTCGTTCGAAACCAAGACGTGGAAAGACATCGGTAAGGCCGCATGCCGCTTTCCCTTCCTCCATGGAAAGACGGGGGTGCAACCACTCCGCCCCCTCCCACACCCCCCCTCACCTAACATACCTTCCCCCTCTTCCCGCCTCGCCTCGTTCGCGTTTAATCCATGCATGCATGCACCATTGACCATGTGTCCTCCCCTTGCCTGTCCTCCAGCCTCTCATTTCCCCTGTGCCTCGTTCGTGTCTGAACCGCACAGGCACGATTGAGCATCTGGCAGCAGCAGGGCACAGAGTCATTGCCGTTGACTTGCCAGGTCCGTTGATTGGCGTTGACTTGCAGGTGTCGCTGACTGGGTTTAAACTATCTCAAATGTTGACTTGTGTTGACTGGCGTTGTGTGGCCTTGACTAACGTTTGAATCGGTCTATGCGTTCAGATGCTGGCCCACGTTCCCCCCCTTCCCACTATCCCACATGCTCACATGCCCCCATTTTCCCATTTTCCCATGCACCCATGCTCACATGCCCTCATTTTCCCATGCACCCATTCTCACATGCCCTCATTTTCCCATGGACCCATGCTCACATGCCATACCCCACATGCCCCTGCATGCCCCACATGACCCCACGCGCCCATGCCAATCCCCACCTCCCGTTTCACCACCGCACACCAGGTGGCAAGGGTCGCACCAAGGACACGCTCTCCACGCGAGCAGCGCATGAGGGCTTTATTGCTGTGGTGAGTGAGTGGGTGGATGTATGACGTGACGTGTGTGTAGATGTGTGCATGTGTGCTCCTCCCCCCTCGCCACCACATAGAGGAGAGGGGAGGGGAGGGGGACAAGGAGAGGGAGGGGCAGGAGGAGTAGAGGGAGTGGCAACAAGGTTGAGGAAGAGTGGAAAAAGTGGAAGAAGAAAAAAGTAGGAGGAGAAAGGATGGAAAGAACAGTGAAGGCAGACCGAAGAAAAATATAGAGAAGTTTGAATAGAAGGGTAGAATAGGTTGGTTCCCGAAACAAAGTGGGGGAAAACTTGGCCATGACAAGAGCGAGCTCGTGCCAGGTGCGCAGCCTTTCGGAAGTGAGATCACCTGCGGCGTTTCTGCAAGAACGAGAGAGGAAAAAAAAAAAAAAAGGAATTTCCGGGGAAAGTAGGGGGCACTCTTGTGCCTGCATAAACCCCGCAGATGTTCTCACTTTTGAAAGGCTGCGCACCTGGCACGAGCTCGCTTCTGTCATGACCAAGTTTCTTCCCACTTGGTTTTGGGAACCAATCTGTTCTACCCTTGTATTCAAACTCCAATATCTTTTCCTCCTAGTCTCCCTTCACAGTTCCTTCCATCTCTCCTCCTCCTACTTTTTTTTTCTTCTTCCACTTCTTCCACTCCTCCTCAACCTTGTTGCCCCTCCTTTTACTCCACCTGCTCCTCCCTCTTCTCAACCCCCTCCCCTCCCCCCTCGTCCCCCTCCCCTCTCCCCACATTTATGATGTGTGTAGGTGTGTGCAGGTGTATGCAGGTGTGTGCAGGTGTGTGAAGGTGTGCACAGGTGTGGAGGACACCCTCTTTACCTGAGCAGTGCATGAGGCTCAGCACACGGAGGGTCCCTGTTGAAGAAACTATGTGCTCTTTCTTAAGGTTGTGCTTGAGAATTCTCAAAAACAACCCGGAGGGTCCCTGTTGAGGAAAATATGTGCACTTTCTCTATTTCATAAAAAATCCAGGAAAACAAAATTCGATAGTAAGTGGTTATAACAGTATGCACTGACGCCACTTTTTTATGGTCCCTTATCTTAATCTTAAATGTATGCAGCTCGCTCGCTCGCTCCAGCCCATAATCAACCCGTGATGCCAACCCAACCTTTGTGTGTTCCTCTCCAGCTCTGGCAGCATTTTGAGCTGTCCTGATGTCGCCGTCTCTCAGCGGTCGCTACAGCCTGCCGTTTGTAGCGCGGCAGAGCTCAGTCCATTCCCCCCCCCCCTCCTCTACCCCCCCTTCCTTTTTTGCCCTGATTGTCGTCCAACCCAACCCTTCTATTCCAGCTCTGGCAGCACTTGGAGCTCACCAACCGATCGGTCCTTGTTTCTCCATCTCTCAGCGGCCGCTACAGTTTGCTGATTGCAGCAGAGCTCACCCAGTGTTTCCAACCCCCTGTTGCCAACCTGTGGTACCCAACCCAACCCTACCCTACCCTTGCGTTCCGCTCCAGCTCTGGCAGCACTTTGAGCTCACCAACCGATCGGTCCTCGTGTCGCCGTCCCTCAGCGGCCGCTACAGCCTGCCATTTGTAGCGCAGCAGAGCCAGCTGAAGACCGGGCGGCAGGCCACGGGTGGGCGGCAGTTGGGCGGCTATGTGCCAGTGGCGCCAGTGATGGTGGACTCATACAGCGATAAGATAGCGGGTAGCCAGGTGTGTGTGTGTGTGTGTGTGTGTGTGTGTGTGTGTGTGTGTGTGTGTGTGTGTGTGTGTGTGTGTGTGTGTGTGTGTGTGTGTGTGTGTGTGTGTGTGTGTGTGTGTGTGTGTGTGTGTGGCTATGTGCCAGTGGCACCTGTGATGGTGGACTTGTACAGCAATAAGATAGCAGGCAGCCTGGTGTGTGTATGACGAGCTATTGGACAGCCAGAAGAAGCTCTGATGAACGGTGCAGAGTGGTACAAGGCAAACTGAGTTCTTTCCTCTTGTCTCTTTATTCGCTTTTTCCCCCCCAGGTGCCAGCATTGGTGGTGAATGGGGAGAGGGATCACCCTGACAGGGCTCAGCACCTTGCAAGCCTGTTTGTCAACCACAAACTGGTATGGCTGAACTTGTCTTGTCGTGGTTAATTCTAGGAAACTTCTGAACATTTTAAAGCAATGGGCCATGCATGCAGGCTACACGGAAAAGAATGCTTACAGTATCGAAAGAAATAACAAGTGTTTAATGCGTGTTGTTGCCTTTGCCTTTTGCCTGCTCTTTTCACAGGTGATTTTCAAAGGAGCGGGCCTTGCATACAGGCGACATGGAGCAACCAGCATACAGTACTTGAGCAATTTAAAGTGTTTGATGTGTGTTGTCGCTGTTTCTCTTTCCCTTTCCCTTTCCGTCTCCTTTTCTTCTCACAGGTGATATTCAAAGGAGTGGGCCATACATGCAGGCCACATGGAGCGGCCAGCATACATTACCCGAAGAAATTAAAGTGTCTGATGTGTGTTGTTGCCTTTTCCCTTTCCGTTTCCTTCTCCTTAACCCCCTTCTCACAGGTGATACTCTAGGAAGCGAGCCACGCATGCTATATGGAGCAGCCTGCGCACTTCAGCAGTCTTGTGAGGCAATTCGTGCAACAACTGACCGTCCCAATAGAATCTTTCTCTTTTGTGTGTATACTCATCTGCGCTTTTCACAGGTGATTTTTAAAGGAGCGGGCCATGCATGCTACATGGAGCAACCTGAGTACTTTAACAGCCTTGTGGGGCAAATTGTGCAACAATTGACCGTCCCAATAGAATTTTCCTCAATTGTGTGTATTCTCCCCTGTGATTTTCTCAGGTGATTTTTAAAGGTGCGGGCCATGCATGTTATATGGAGCAACCTGATTACTTCAATAACCTCGTGGGGCAATTCGTGCAACAATTGACTGTCCCAACAGAATTTCAGTAATTCTAGGGCTGATATTCAAATCGGGCTGAACACCTAAGGTACCGTATGTAGTGCCAGTACATGGATATTTGTTAGAATCTAGAGACAGGAATGACTTGGATTGAAACAAAGGTGGGTACATATCCTAACCCTAACATTGGGTTGTACCCTTTATGGGCTACCCCACTACAGCCTACACAAGAAGATAGCATATACAGTTTGACACACCCCCATAGGCAAAGTGGGGGAGAACAAGGGGTCACAAGACCAGTCAAGAAACGCAAAACAAGCTCAGGGTGGATCACAATGTCACCACACACACTGAGCACAAGCAAAGGGCCACAAGGCCAGTCCACATGCAAAGATATATATATGCAACAAGAACAGCAGTGATCAATACCTAGCAAGAGCAAGCATGCAGGTATAAATATAGAGCACAGTACACACAAAAGCTACAGTAAGTGTGGAAACGTGGGCACAAGGCCTAACAAAGTACAAAGGCGCTGATGATCACCAGACGGAAGTGCCTTGGTGAATATATCAGCAGTGTTGGCCCGAGTGGCCACGTGTGCAAGACGAAGCTGACCACGCTGCTGCAACTCTCGAGCCAGGAAGTAGCGCAGAGCGATGTGCTTCGTTCTGTACTCCAGTCTGTGCTCCTCACACAAGGCAATGGCAGCCTTGTTGTCGACGTACAGAACTGGAGGAGAACGAGGCCGCTCTCCCAGGTCGGTCAGCAGGTAAGTGAGCCAGCGCAACTCCTGAGCAGCCATGGCAGTGGCGTAGATCTCAGCCTCACAACTGGAGCCGAGAACAGAAGACGAGCGAGTAGAACGCCACGAAACAGAACCAGAGCCAAGGCTGAAAGTGTAACCCTGTGACGACCGCTGTGTAGCCTGGTCGTCAACCCAAGAAGCGTCTGAGTGCCCAGTGAGAACCACCTCTCTCCGCCCTCCAAGCACGAGCCCCATGCCCGATGTTCGCAGCATCCCAGTGCACCTTTCGGTGTCGACCAGGAGCCACGTAGCGGGCCAAAAGGCCAAGAGGGTACGCAAGGTCAGGACGAGTGCAGGTCATCAGGTACATGAGGCAGCCCACTAACTCTGGGTAAGGACCACTCGGCTCTACGGACTCGTCCGAAGGTGGAGCTGAGAGCGAGTGACCTGTAGCCAGAGGAGTGGACTGTGGCGAGGACCAGGTGAAGCCGAAGCGCTGAAGGACCTGCTGCACCATGTGTGACTGAGTCAGAGTGATGGTGCGGCGTGCTCTGTCCCGGGTGATCTGCAGGCCAAGGTAGCTGCGCAGCTCACCCAGGTCTGTGCACGTGTGTCTCTTCTGCAGCTCCGACTTCACCAGGGCGAGAGCCTCAGTGTTAGCAGTGGCAAAGACCAAGTCGTCGACGTACACTAGGATGTAGAACGGCGGCAGCGAAGTGTCGGTGCGCAGAAACAGCGACGGGTCAGCAGTCGAAGGAGCAAACCCAAGAGCCGCAAGTGTAGTCCTCAGTGTGTCGTGCCACTCGCGAGGCGCCTGGCGGAGACCGTAGACTGGCCGCTGAAGCCTCCACTGGGTACCAGGCGGGAACGACCCAGTGAAGCCAGGTGGGCGGCACAGCCAGATCTCCTCGTGCAGGCTGCCCTGTAAGAAGGCTGTGCTGAAGTCCAGTGAGTGAAGCTCGTAGTCACGCTGAGCGGCAACGTGCAGCAGCACCCGAAGAGTGGTCATCTTCGGGGTGGGGGAGAAAGTCTGGAAGAAGTCGACTCCCTCTCGCTGACTGAAGCCTCGAGCAACGTAACGAGCCTTGAAGACAGGCGGAGAACCTGGCGGCCGCTTCACCTTGAAAATCCACATGCCACTGACGATGTTCGCCCCAGGAGGGGGAATCTCGTCGACGTAAGTGCATGTGGACTTCCAGGATGCCATCTCTGCGTCCATGGCTGCCTGCCACTGAGAGGAGTAGGGGCCCGCGATCGCCTCAGCGTAAGAGCGCGGGGTCGGGATGTCTATAGCATCCGGGTCTCCCTCAGGGGCAAGCAGCATGGCCACAAGATGAGGCGCAGCTTTCGCAAGACACTCAAGGTCCTCTTGTCTGTCCTCAAGGACGTCCGTGCCAAGAGCACACTCACCCTCGACGGACGGAGGACAGACAGACTCAGACTCAGCAGCTAGACTGGCAGCGTAGTCTAGACGACAGGCAGCAGCAAAGTCGACAAGCTCAGCGACCAAGGCAGACGCAGCAGCAGACTCAAACGACGAGTCAGTGACAACAGTGGCTAACAGACGCGTGACTGTAGGGTGCTCAGCGCGAAACCGGTCAGACTCAGGGTCCGGAACGTCAGGCAGAGAGGACGCAGGAGGAGACGGCAGAGGAACAGACTGCGGAGCAGAGAAAGGACGACGGACGACGAGGTGCGCGCTGGGGACAGCCGGCGAACGCGGACGAGGAACACGACGACTGGTACGACCAGGACAAACAGGCGAGACAGGACGCGACGCAGGCTCACGACGCTCAGCAAGACCTCCTGCCTGCTCAGTGTAAGGGGAAGGAGCAGGCAGCGGTGAGCCAGGCTGTAACGAAAGACCAGTAGAAGACGGGAGGCTGAGAACCTGACGAAGTACAGTGTCAGGCGGTGGCAGAGACGACGGAGATGTCGGAGCGAAGAACAGTCGCGGCGGTGCAGTGCCACCAGCACCAGCAGCTCCAGTACCTCTAGTAGCTCCAGAACCAGCTCCACCCGGAGCAGCACCCCCAGAACCGGCACCTCCAGTCCCAGGGTCTCCAGCCTCCTTGTCTCCAGCAGTGGCATCCGCAGCCTCAGCACCTCCAGCCTCAGCAGCTCCAGTACCTCCAGTACGAGCACTTGCGGGACCAGCAACTCAAGCACCTTCAGTAGACAAAGGACCAGTACCACTCCCAGCTCCAGCAACGTCAGCAGCAGCACCTCCAGCGGCAGAACTCCGAGCTCCAGAAGCGCGACCCTGACGGCGACCGTACCAGTCGTGGAGCTGCTGTGACGTGAGAGGCACACGCGGACGAAGGCGGCTACTCCAAGGATACCGTGGAACAGCAGACTCAGAACCCTCAGCGCCAGGACCCGTAGCAGCACCAGAACCTCCAGCTCCAGCGCCACCAGCGCCAGCACCTCCAGTAGCTCCAGCGTCTCCAGCACCCTCAGCAGCTCCAGAACCTCCAGCTCCAGTGCCACCAGCGCCAGCACCTCCAGCAGCTCCAGAACCTCCAACGCCAGCACCTTCAGCAGCTCCAGAACCTCCAGCTCCAGCGCCACCAGCGCCAGCACCTCCAGTAGCTCCAGAACCTCCAGCGCCAGCACCTTCAGCCTCCTCACACTCAAGCTCAGCACCTCCAGGCTCCGCACCCCCAGGCTCCACACCCCCAGGCTCCGCACCCCCAGGCTCAGCACCCCCAGAAGCAGCACCCCGAGCAGGACCAGAGTCACCAGTGACCTCAACCGGCGCAGTCAAGGGAGGAGGGTCTACCTGAGACACACCTGAAGGAGCAGGACCGGGAGCGGGGAGGGGGTCTACCTGGGGAGCACCTGGAGCGAGGAAGAGCGGCGGGGGGGGGAGAGGGGCAGTGCGGTAGGGGAAGAGACGGTAAAAGGGAACCGACTTGTCGAACGTGACGTCCTGAGAGGGGAAGACACGGCGCGAGGTGGGGTGGTAAAACTGCCAACCAGGCGCGTCAGGGACAAAGCCAAGGAAGACACAGGGAACAGCGCGGGCGGAGAGCTTGTCCGCGATGGTATCGCGGACAAAGGCACGAGCACCCCAGACCCGGAAACGCGACGCATCGCCAACCTTCCCCGTCCACAGCAGTGTGGGCGAGGTCTCCGGCAAGGAGACACGGGGCCAGAGGTTGAGCTGATGCGCGGCGTACCGGACCGCAAACGGCCATAGAAAATGGGGGGCAGCCGCATGGATCATGGAGGTACGAGCGACCTCCATGACTAAGCTAATGCGGCGCTCAGCAACCCCATTCTGCTGCGGAGAGGCCGGAAGCGTGAACGTCTGGCGAATGCCGTGCTCCGCACAGAAGGCTGCCAAGAGGTCTGAGGTGAACTCACCACCTCTGTCAGAGTGCAGACGCAAGACAGGAAAGTCCCGCTCGAACCGCTCGCGGAGCTGGAGACGAACAGCGCGGATCCAAGGGATCAAAACATCAGGGACCTCCCCCTTGCGCTGCAAGGGGAAGACCGTGGTGTAACGCGTGTAGTCGTCGACGACCAGCAGGAAGTACTGCTCGTGGCCCTGTCCACGAACGCGGGCTGGGCCCCACACGTCCAGGTGGAGAGTCTGCAGGGGAGCCTCTGTGGGAGGGAACGAGGAGGAGTGAGGAGCGGCGCGCTGCCGCCCCTCGACGCAAGGAATGCAGGGCGGCGCAGGCGAGGGAGGGAGGGCAGGCAGAGTCCTGGGGAGACCAGAAACCAGGGAGCGAGAGTGCATGCCACGAAGGCGCTGCACCGAGGGGTGACCAAGGCGGTGGTGCCACAGGAGGGTCTGGTGCGACAAAGCGCGACACGAGCAGGGGGCCGCTAGCTGACCTGACGCAGACGCAGACGCAGCTACCTGAGGGGACTCAGTGGTCAGTGTGTACAGACTCGAGCCAGGCGCACGGGTAAACGTGGCCAGGTGTCGGCCCGTCCGAGCACACGTACAGTGAGTCACCCGCTGACTCGCAGGAGTGAACTGGTCAACCCCCCCATCCTGGAGGTCAGCTCCACTCACCAAGTTCGTAGAGAACGAGGGGAGGTAGAGACCTGACAGCGAGCCAGACGGGACGGCCGGACACGGCAGAACCGTGGAGTAGTGGGCAAGGACTGGACCCCCAGAGGGGTCCGCCAGGGAGACTGCAACTGGCCGACTAAGCGGCGTGAGTGTGGTGCAGTCGCGAAAGAAGGAGCGGGAAGCTCCTGAGTCGAGGGTGAAGGTGTGCAAGGCCGCAGCAGGCGCAGTACCAGAGAGAGCAAACTCACCAGCACCTAGAGCAGGAGACGCACTAG